AGTCGCATCAGTGGTAGTGACTTCATGAAGGGCTTCTGTTTCCCTCCTCAAAACCGAGTAGAGTATCTTCTTCGACAGTGGCTTTTGCAGGTAACATATCTTCAATGGCATCTTTTGTTCCATTGTTCACTTCATCCCAACTGAAATTTCCTGGGCCGTGATAATGTCAAAGCCTGTTGGCATGCATCACCTTTGGCTTACCTCACCGACCACATTTTATTCGGAAAGTCACGTCTGAGAGACGATCCACTATGTCATATGGGCCTTCCCATGGAGAAGACAACTTAGGAGACTTTGCTTTGGATTTCCTGGAATTATGCAACCACACCTTGTCTCCTGATACAAAGCTGACATCAGTAGATCTCTTATCATAACGTAGCTCAATGGAATCAGCAGACGTTTTGAAGTTTGAGTGCACTTGATGGTAAATATTATCTATCTTTTCCTATAACACTTTGACGAATTCTGACACATTTTCAGGCAACTCTTCATAAGGTGGGCATCCTGTTAACCGATCCACTGGCAACCAAAGTTCTTGACCAAACATCAACTTTGCTGGAGTGTATCCAGTGGCTTCATGCTCTGCTGTCCTAGAGGCCATCAACATTGGAGGGAATAAGACATCCCAGTCATCTTGGTTGCTATTACAAAACTTTGCCAATTCCTGTCTCTGTGTCCAGTTCTACTTTTCTACCATCCCATCAGACTGCGGGTGAAGTGGCGTGAAAAGAAACAAGAAGAACGAGAAAAGAACAAAGAAGAGAGATCACAACAGTTGTTGGAGGAAAAAGAAAAGAAGCAAGAAGAGAGATTACAACAGTTGTTGGAAGAAAAAGAAAAGAAATAAGAAGCACGAGAAAAGAAACTACAGCAGTGGTTGGAGGAGAAAGAAAATGAACAAGAAAAGAGATTACAGCAGTGGATGGAGGAGAAAGAAAATAAACAAGAAGAAAGTATCCAACAGTTAAGAGAAAGCCAGAGTACACAAATGGAAAACATTAGTAAATTTCATAGCGAATTAAATACATTAAATGATGATTTATTGTCTTTTACACAAGAAGGATACATTAACCATCAACTTAATTAGTCCCAGACAATGGCAAGCCCCTTGCAGATCCCGCAGCTAAACCCTAATGCAGTCATTTTCAGTCCTTTAGAAGTCCCATCCCAGATATAAATATCAGCAATAGGGGTAATCTATTAGGAAGGAAGCTACAGGAATTCGATGGGAAGGCACCATGGGAAGCATATAGAGCACAATTTGAGCT